TTTCCTATCACGAACAAGGTCCTAGCACTGCACAACCAAAGTGAAAGTACAGGACCAACTTCAGGGTATTTCAGCCCAAATAGGTCTGCTGGAAATGAGAACCTCTCTGAAAGGCTGGGGAGCACTTACTCTATGCTCAATTTATTAGTTTCCTACTTCTAACATAAAAAATTGTCACAAATTCAGTGCCTATTTTTATTCTTCAGAAGTCTAAAATGAGTGCGGGGGAAGGCTGAGTTCCTTCTGGAAACTTCAGGGGAGAATGTTACCTGGCTATACCTGGAACATAGCTCTTCCATTTTTTTTTTAGCTCTTCCATTTTTATATATCCTGCTAGGATATCCTTCCACCTTCCTACTTTGTATAAAATACAAACAGATCTCTGTGAGTTCAAGGTGTAGTAGCATACACCTTTAATCTCAATGTCTGGGAGGCAGAGACAGGCAATCTCTGAGAGTTCAAGGACAGCCTGGTCTACAGAGTTATTCCAGGTCAAAGATATACAGAGAACCTGACTCAAAGCAAAAAATAAAAATAAACAAAATAGAGTTTAAAATAAAACGCACAAAGATGGAAAATACACAGAGAATCTTGATACTGTATGCTATTATGCTCTGTTTGAATTGTTTGAATGCTGAGGAAGGAGCAACAGCTGCTAAAAGATATTTGTTTATAAATGCTGCTGAACTAATCCAACATAGATATTTTGAAAATGCCTTGACTTTGAAATTTGGATCTAAGGACATGATGCTTTGGAAAGGAGTTTCTTATTTTGTTTTCACAGAGGGTGAGAGTCTGTGGATTGCTTCTTGCTCAATGTGGTATGATGGACCACGCCCTCCTGAAGGGTTGGTGTGAACACCTTCAAAAAATTGCTTCACTCAACTGCCGACTGAGATGACCCTGGCACACAGGTCACCCCATGAAAGATATGATTAACAGCACCCCCATTCAGCAGGAAACAGTTTGGAGAGAAAAAACTGCGCCCATGTTCCCAAATATGGTTTATAAACCTTCTTTTACATTTAAAGGGGGATATGATATAGGTATGAATAATTTGCATTGACATGGATTTTGCTTTAGTGATATATTTTTAAGGTCAATATTGTTATATATATATATATGTTTCTGATCTTGATTAAGGTATTGTGATTGTGTAGTTCACTTAAAATGTAATATATATAGCTTGTTAATAGATAATCATAATAGTCAAGCTTGTAGTCATGTTAGTTAAGATTTTCTAGATGTACATAGATATATTTTAGATAGGCATTCTTCATATCTTTCAAAGATTACAGAATAGGACATTTAATGTTTTAATAACTTAGGACTTTTCATGACAATGAGACACTCTGCTCCTGGCAGCACCAATGTACTTCAAGAGGAAGATGGGCATCGAAGAGGCACCTTATGGAGTTTGATAGCCATTTGGGCAAGAAACTGCTCTTGCCTGGACGATTGCATAAACTGGACGCAGAGAACCCACAGAGAGAGGACTACTAAACTTGCCTAAGGTGAGATGATCTTTCGGGGTTCCTGATTCATGAGAGAGTCTGCAAGACATTCTGCAGGACACAACAGATAGTGACTGAACTGACTTTGAAATGTCCTGCTTCATGGAAATGTCTGCTGGATACTATGGGCCTGAAGGCTGAAGACTGATGCCCCAACGGTACAGAGGAACTTTGGGTGATTGTACAGGCAGTGAGATGTCTCTGTCATTTCTAGAGTTTTGAAAATTGCTTACTTTTTGTTTGCTTAGGTAGTATTGTATTCTTCTGGAGTCTTTGATGGAGTTGAAGAATAGATAGTTATAGTTTTCCATTGTTATGATAAAAGATAAAATAGATATAAATATTGTAACTGTAATTCTTGCTTGATAACTGTTTTGTTATATGTAATTTTGCTATGTTAAAGCCTTCCTTTTTCTGTTTAAACAGAAAAGGGGAAGTGATGTGGGAGTGTCATATAGCATTCTCATTGTTTTTAACCCCTCTAGATCCTGTTTGCAGACACAAGAGAAATGGGGAAGAATTTAACCAGAGCTTCTGTTTTCCAAAGTAGAAGAGGAAAAGCTCAGGCAAAAACCAAACAAAACAAAAACAAAAAAACCCAACAACAAAACCAAAAAACCAAAAACCAAACAAACAAAAACCACAAGGATAGGGCACAGGTCAGGCAGGCTTATCAAAGGAAGAAGCATTTAAGGCCCACACTCCCATGAAGCAGTAGAATGATCTAGAATGGGTACTATCCAGCTGTGCTCATTTACATTCATTCACTGTTTTAGGGCTGAAGGCATTATTTCTGTGTAATTTTAAGTTTTAAAGAGTTTAAGGTGATGCTGGGTGGTGGTGGCACACACCTTTAATCAGAGGCAGAGGCAGGCGGATCTCTGTGAGGTCGAAGCCAGCCTGGTCTACAAGAGCTAGTTCCAGGACAGGCTCCAAAGCTACAGAGAAAATGTTTCAAAAAACAAAACAAAAAAAAGTTTAAGTGAGAAATGACTTAAGTAACCCGTGATTTTCATATGTGCTTCAAGAAAGTAACTCCATTACAGCTCAACACTTCAGTAAAAGGTGATTCTGAAGATGCTCTTTTTGTTTTAGCTTTTGGATGTCAGCTTGAGCTGCTCAAGGTTCATCTTTCCAGATTATTTCTAAGCTACTTGCCACTTACTTTTTTATTTTTTTTGGATATTAATCTTTTATTTTTTTCATCTTTTTTTCACTCTTTTTTTAAAATTTATTTAATTATTAAAGATTTCTGTCACTTCCCCGCCACCGCCTCCACTTACTTAACCTAACTGAAACTGAAGGGAACTGAAGAAAACTGAAGGAAAAGTGAAGGGAAGGGAAGGGAAGGGAAGGGAAGGAGCCTGGTGGTCAGGCCTTGCAAAAACGCTCACACCCCAAATCCACCTCAACAAGGTGATGATGTGCTTATTCAGAAGCATAAGGTGGAGGAATTCAGCAGTAACTAGACGCAATGAGTTGTGTAATTACCTGCCCATTTTATTGTAAAGACAAAGTCTTTAGATTGTATAATCTCTACCATTCTGTGATGTAAAACCACTTGAACTCCCAGAAGCCTCCTTTAACAGTGCAAAATGAGTGTTAAAAGTTGGCTGCATAAGGGCCACTCCCAAGGTGGGATTTATTAACTAAACCTTCTTTTAAAACCATTATCACACAATTTCTGATTTTCACAAAACAATCCAACTGAGAAAATCAAGTGTTTATATAATACAGTTTTTGAAATAATACATCAAAGTTAATGGGCGCTAAATATGCTTTTGCTGCTGTGTAAAGGGGCTTGGCAGCTCAGTGTGAGAGTGTTTATTTAGCACGTTCAGTCTTGGTTTCCAGTCTCACTACAGTAAAACAGAAAAACAAAACAAAATATAAAACCCAAATAAACAACCAAACATATTGAGGATTTTGATTTGGCTTGCTCTCTACATTTAAACATTTCTTTAACACAAATATTCACCTACCACTGGATATGTATACATTCTTATAAACCCAACAACCTTTTTTGGATGTAACAGGATATACTTAATAGTTTAAAATCTTCAGAATGAATTACTAGAACAGTCATCTACTAACAAGCACATGAGGTAGGTAGAGGCAGAAACAATCATTTTCATCTGTTTCACTACTGATTTACTTAATGATCCTTGACAACTTGAAAATATTGACCCTCTCAAAGTCCTGCCCAATGAGACCATATAACCTTGATTCCATGACAGACTCCCAGAGTTCTGCATAAAATGAGTATTATAAACAATTGTCTTGTGTATCCTGTCACGTTATGTCACTGACCATTTTAAATGTTGATCCTAAGGTTTTTATCTTACTAGCCTGATGAAATCATGGTTTCTGGGCAAAGTACAAAGGGTTCTCTTTGACTTCTGATATTGACCTGAATTGGGAATATGTGTTTTCTTTCTTTCTTTTTCTTTGAGACAGGGTCTTGTATCCCAGGCTGTCCTAGAAGTTATCTTCATGCCTCAGCCTTAAATGCTGGGAGTCTAGGCGTGCATTGCCATGACCAGATGATTTTGTGCTTTTAAACATTCAATTCCTCATCCTTGAACCTCCCTTCTAACATAAGTAAATTCATAGATTTTTAAAAATCAGTATGTCAAAACAGAAAATTACCACACTAACAGTAGTTTATAGTTTTCATAATTTAATGAAAAAGTATTGATAAAAAGGTGACATTTGAAAAAAGATTGAGCTTATCTTCAAAACTTGAATTATATAAGACAAGACAAAAAACATTAACAAAGGTTAAGAGGTAATACTTCAGAACAAAATGTTGCAGATGCATTTTGGGGTATTTGGAATGTATACAAACTGAAGGCTCATTTGTTACCCAGGAAAATTCTGTAAAAAATATTACCATTTTATTTCCCTGACTTGAATGATTTTTCAGGCAATACTCTCCCAATGGCATTTCATATGGAATTTGGCTAAAGCACTGTTTTCATGTTTGGTCACCCCCCCCCCCCCCCAGAATTCAAAGGCATGAAAGCACACAGGCCAATTTACTGGCCTTTAATATAAGAAATTTAACACTCACCTCCATTATACTCTCATTACCATGAAAGTGTTAAATTTATATGTACCTAGAAGTATTCAAAAACAGAGGCCGAGGGTATTAAGAGGAAATTTTTTCCTCATTTTTCAACTAAAACAAAATTCAGAACACCTACTACACATGTTATAGTATGTTCACACATTTCATACATGTTCATAGGCACACAAACATTTTGAAGATGCAGCCAAAGGAAAGGCAAAATACAGGAGGGAGAGGGGGAGAGAGAGGGGGAGGGAGAGGGGGAGAGAGGGGGAGGGGGAGGGAGGGGGAGGGGGGGAGGGAGAGGGAGAGGGGGAGTGGGAGGGGGAGGGAGAGGGAGAGGGGGAGGGAGAGGGAGAACAAAACCCCAAAGATGCCTTTAACAAGGTTCTAAGAACAAAAGCAGGAGGGGCAAACTGCTCCACTGCATTGGCTAGAGGGCTACTGCCCTCACTGGCACCTACTGCTGCTTTCACCAGCATGAAACTTCAGAAATTGAAAATGGCCTCTTGTTTGAAAACTTTCTCCATATGTTCCCAAACTAGAAGAAAGAGAATATTATTTTAAGGCTAAGAAGAAAAGGGAGCTGAGAATTCCAGTCTGCCTCCCATTTTATAAACTGCTACTTTCCCCTTATCTTAAATGGGAAGCAGACCTATTTCATTCTCTAATTCAGAATTCTCTTCCTCTAGAAATGAATCAAGGCTGATTATTTGGTAATGTGGTATAATCAAGTTCTGAAAAATGGCTCTAACTTTTACACTTGGGAAATTGCCTTGGATTCAAAATTCATACAAAGCTAAATTATATCCATGTGTTAAACACATGCTTTCAAATTTGTCTGACAATAAAAATCTGTTTCAAAATTAAAGCAGGTAAGAATACTTAACCTTCTGCGCATTACACTATATTTTAATTATACCTCAATAAAAATTTTATAAACATTAAAGCAGGTATACAAAAACTGTCAGCCCAACTTTAGTCAAACTTATTTGAAAACAACACAAAAAACCCTGACCTGGTACAAATATCCCAGAAAAGGTCACACTTCAGGAAAGGCTCTGAAGTCTTTGCAAATGCCTTGAGAAGCAGAGCATTTCCTTGGAAGTAGTACTTTTGTAAACACTATCCACAAGTTAGCTTGTTAGCTGGATAAGAGAGTTATGAGTGTGTTCCCAACAAGCAGGTCTAGGAACAGGCACTGGACACTTAGGAGAATTGACTTTATACGATATGATACTGTGAAAGAAACTCAACCTTGCACGAAGCAAGGAAGACAATAGTGACAGTATCTGAGAATGCTGCTCTCCCGGTCTCTCCCTTAAAGAGGTTTATAGATACCAGTGGAATTAGAAACTTTCTACAGACATGAGCTCTAAGGAGTCACATGTTATAGTTTCAAAAGATAAGTAGCTTTAGTGTCTGTCATGTTCTCTCGCAAATCCATTGACAATACAATGATTCTTAATACGTAGTTTAATCAGTGTGTTAAGATAACTGAAAAGCGGTCCTGAAGTACTCACTGAGCAAATACTCTGGGCCCAACTGTTACCAGCAGCCTCCAACAAAGCAACCCCAGTCAATCTGCAACTCTTGTAATGTGCTTATAAAAACTAGACCTGAAACCTTTTCGAAACATCATACCATCATTTTCCCTGCAATTCCTCCTAATATACACTAGAATCCTTTGGGTGTTTAGATTTCCCCTAGAATGTGGGGCAAAGTCTGCTTAGGTATTTCTGATCACCTTTGCATTGAGCTGTGGGAATGAGGATGTGTCTCGCTTTTCCCATGGCATTCCCGAACAGAATCATGAGAAGGATTTTCTCGGTCAGAACTTTCTCTCTTTACCCTTGCTGTTTCTTTACTCCCTTCCCCTTCTGCTTCTGAATCGCTGGGCTCTAAATCAGGGCAATACCCATCAGTTTCCTGATATGGAGCTCTTCCTGCTGACCGCCTGAGAAGCTGTCTACCCCACAACTGCTCCTTAGAACTCACATTCTTAGTTGGTTTAACACAGTACTGGAGGTCCTCAGTGGGCCTCACCCATGTATTGGTGGCCTCCTTAAAGGATCTGCTAAAGTGTTCTATGCCAGATTTTCTAATGTTGCCCTGACTGGGCAAGTGGGGGCTGAGCATTGACTCCTGGTCACAGAAAATCTCATCTAAATTATCTTTCTGGGTGATGTTTCCAGACCAGTTGCCCTCCAGACCATTGGAACCGGCAAGCCTGGAGTTAGGCTGATTCTTCCCATTACCAATAGAAGCCTGTCCGTGGAGGGCAGCCTGAAGGGCCAGAGGCTTTCCTAATGATTGCCCATGATAGAGCTCGGCAGATGGAGCTCTCTGAGCAGGACTGGAACTCTTGGCTTCACTTCGAGAATGACTGCGACTAGCCAGCAAACAGTTACTCTTGATTTCTAGTGGATGTCGTGGATACATTTTCACATTCATGTCCAGCGCCTCCTCAGGCATTTGTGGGCTCCTTTTATTGTGACCAGGGGAGCTGCTGCCAGGCGAGGAGGGTTGGTGTTCTGTTTCTGTGGAGCTGTCTCTGCAGTCTTCTGAGGTTGATTTAGGCATTTTCAACTTTAAGGTGATACGTGGTGGTGGGTAAAACAATGAGTTCTCTAGTGCATTTGTCAAAGAAAGTCCTGAAATCAAAAAGGAAGATTTGCTTAACAACTGATTTAATTATTAAGCATATGTGTATCACAAAGAGAGTTCATGAACCTATTGTTCCAAATGTCTAATAAGCAACTGTCTCTGATGAGCATGTATACCATGGTGAGCAGGTAAAGTGAGCTGCAGTAGAGGATGAACCCAGAGTCCCACAGTATCCATGGCTCTCAACCTTTACACCTAAAAAACAATAGCAACAACTAGTGTGCTCTGTCTTCTGTCCCCATTTCCATGTCTTTCATTTCTTGTCTGTTTATGATTGGGCATATGGGTAATGAGTAGGACTGAAGATGTGCCTCAAACACAAGACATTTCAGATTTTATTGCTCATTCTCTTCAGGCATTCCCAAACAAGCCAAATAGAAAGCCACATAGGTATTTTATTTAATCTGGCATTAGAAGCAGTGGGTGGTTCCTGAATACTTTATGTCCTTACTTTATAATATCCTGATTACAAATTCCCATTGTGGGGTATAGAATAATTTAAAAAATATTATTGGACCCATATATGGGCACATGTGCGATAGCATGCACGTGAAGGTAGATGACAACATTATGGAGTCAGTTCTCTCCATCTTTACATGGGTTCTAAGGATCAAATTCAGGCCACCAGGCTTTTGAAGCAAATGCTGCTGAATCATCTTGCTGGCCCTGGGAGAGGTATAGGATGCCTATGCTAGGATGCATTAATTACCCGGATATATTACTATAAAATTGGTCTTTGCCCATTATCTTCTTATAATATATAGCTTCATAAAAATGAGAAAGGATAGCTTGGAAGTATCCTAAAGGATAGCATGCATTCCCCAAGGGACCATTTCGAACAACTACAGCCTCCATCTCTGCTAGGGCTTGCCACATGTTGATGCTGGAAGCTGCTATATTCTTGTTTTTATTTTCTTTTTTGTAAAAATTAATTTATTTATTATATAGACAGTGTTCTGTCTGTTTGTATGCTTGCTGGACATGAAGAGGGCACCAGATCTCATTACAGATGGTTGTGAGCCACCATGTGGTTGCTGGGAATTGAACTCAGGACCTCTGGAAGAGCAGTCAGTGCTCTTAACCTCTGAGCCATCTCTCCAGCCCAAGCTGCTATATTCTTATAATCAGAAGCCACTTGGCTGAGTCCAATCTTGTTATCACATAGAGGCTCCTCCCTGTTTTCCTTTACTTTTTATTGCTTTGACAGTCATGTTACGGGGTAACCTTGTGGCTGAGTATCCCTGCTACTTCCTGCTATACCAGTATCCTATAATGCAGCCACAAATACCCCAGGGGCTTTTGATGTCTACCTAACATCTTGTTTCTATGTTTTTTCTTATTTTATGGTTGGCTTTTAACAGGTGCTGATTTTATACATTTTGCCTAAGTTACCCTTAGTGATCAGGTTCTCCCACCTATTCTATATTAAAAGACAGATAGGGAAGTGTCCTGTACATGACTGTCATGATTCTAGCCAAGCATCTACTGTATCATCATGTATCTTTCTCATTAAGTGGGTAATGCAGGGATTTCTCTGTTTGACTGCTCTATCTTCTAGTTTAGTTCTTAGTTCCTAGTATAGTGGTATTCAACCTTCCTATTCTGTGACCCTTTAATACAGTTCCTCATGCTTAATGGTTCCCCAACCATCAAATTATTTCATTGCTACTTCATAAGTATAATTTTGCAACTGTTATGAATTGTAATGTAAATACCTATATTTTCTAATGGTCTTCCATGACCCCTGTGAAAAGGTTATTTGACCCCCAAGGGGTTGCAACCCACAGATTGAGAACCACTACCCTAGTAGGTTCTCAATAAATATTAGTGAATAAATGAAAAGATTAGAACTATATCTTTTAACTTCTAGCCAAAGATCTGTTTTAACAGATTACTTTTAAGATAAGGAACCCTGGAATTAAATGGTTTCTGGAAACTAGAATTTGGTGTTGGCTTCTTGATTTTAAATGAATTTGATAACTACAAAACACTTTCAGGGCTGTAATTAATAGATTATCTGGCTTAGATTTACAACTCTTCTAATCCTATCCTGGAATTTCTTTTCCTTCCTTTCATTTTTTTTTTCCTGGAAGGGAATTTCTACCCAGGAATTAATTTCTCATTGGAAGTTGACAGTGAAATAGGTCACATAATTATCAGAATTAGACTGAAGCATACAAAACAATTTTTAAGTGGCACAATAGATATAAAACCAAATTGTAAAAATGGATATAATCAGTCTCTATATTTGCTAGTACAATTTTAACACACAGGTTGTTACCTTCTGTAACTTCTTGGTTAATAAGCTGGACTTGCAAACCGAAGATCTGTTCTTGCACTTTGGTGTGTGAAAGTTTCAGCTTCTCTCGCCTGCTTATCATGTAGCATAGATTTCGAACCTGCAAGCCCAATCCCCAGTGAATAAAGATGTTTGTTATAATAAGCAAATTTACAGTTGAAATTGTTCAGTTACACTGAAGGTCACTGAGTTCCGGTGCCTGTGGGAGTGAGGAGTGAAGACAAGACCCAAGGGTCACAGACCATGACCCAAATCAAAGGAATTACTATAGCATGACAATCATCGGGACATGGTTCCCATGTCAATGGGCTTTAAGAGCAAGTGCTCCAAGATTCTCTCTGAAACCTATTCTCTAGTCTACAATTTAAGAGGATCAGTATTTATGTACACAGTCCAGCTGAGAAGATAATGGCATAATACGTTAGCCTCTCCTTTTTATCCCTGAGTATGAATGATAGCACTTGACATCTGTACCACCAAGCCTGGTTAATTTCCAGAATTAGACAATTATGAAATTTCCTAGGATAAACACAGTACCTAACTTTTCTCTCAATTCTTATAGCACTAAATTTACCTGGAAATCATAAATTAAAAAGTTCATAGAGCAAGTACTTATGAAGCCTTTCCAATCCCAGTCAAAGTTTAAACAGAACCCAATGTATGGGACCACAATGAACTCACATGATAAGGAAAGACACAGAAGCTCACACTATATAATGGGGTGGTCATTTTAAAAATATCTTCTATCTCTATGTAGACAATAGTAAGAGCTGGTCATCTTACCCTCTCTAGGTCCTGCCGCAGGTGCATAAACATTCTCATGCGAGTATGGATGTTTTCTTCTTTTGGCTGTACCAAGCCATTTTCTTCATCCTCTTTGGGAGGAATTAATGGTTTGTTGAAGTTGCTTTTGCGCTTCAGTTTCCAGTAGTTATAGATAAAGTCAACAGTTAATGCAGATAGCCCCAGCTCTTTGGCAACATCTTCCACCTGGACCAAGGTGTAGAATTCTTCCTCTAGTTCACGAAGTTTCTGTGTCCGCAGGCTGGTTTTCTCACTTTTTGCCTGGCTCTGCTCAGCAACTCTATGGTGGTGGTACTCGGCCTCCCCAATTTTTGGCTTGTTTTGGCCATGCTTGAGGCAAAATGACTTGAATTTTACTTCATCACCGTCATCTAGGATAGTCTTCATTTCCAAGCCGTGCTCAAAGGCACAGGTGACATGAAAGGCAGTGAGACAGCTTTTCACAGAGCACTGAAGGAGAAAAAAATGTGTTAAGGCAGTAGATGGGAAGAGGATAGGGAACACCTATGTCTCTGGCCCCAACTGTGAGCTTATAGAAAGCAAAAAAGACAGGGGAAGGCTTGACCATGACAAATATTTTACAAATAAAAAAAGGAGAAACATATTTTACAAGTAAGAATTTTTTAAAAAATTATTATATGCTTCCCCCCCCTTTTTTTAAAAAAAGATTTATTTATTTATTATGCATACAGTGTTCTGCCTGCATGTATGCCTGCAGACCAGAAGAGAGCACCAGATCTCGCTAGGGAGGTTGTGAGCCACCATGTGGTTGCTGGGAATTGAACTCAGGACCTCTGGAAGACCAGCCAGTGCTCTTAACCTCTGAGCCATCTCTCCAGCCCAAGAATTTTTTTATGTTACCCAGGAAACTTGGTCATATAGAAAAGAGCAAAAATATGAAATTCCCATTTTAAGGTTTCAATTTAAGCTGCAAGTATTGAGTTGCTTTTTTTGAGAAGTCTCTTAATTTATGTAAAGTTTTATATGGTTTCTTCTCTGCGTCTTCCACATTGCCTATATATGCTTTTATTGTAATACTTTTCACACACTACCTACTAATAGCTGAAAAATTCCTGGACATAAAGCTTAAGACAGAACCTACATCAGCTACCTATGTACCAGGATGTCATGAATTCAGGCAATACCATAAACTACTGAGAAAGCAGTTGCTCAGAATAAATGAAAGAAAAGACATAGTTAATATTATTGCTAGGACAGCCATGGCTCTAAAAGGTCACAATAAATCCAGTATCTAAGTAACCTTACTTCCTGAAATTGTTCTAATACACCTGAACTATGCATTAGACCACAGTCATGAATGGCTACTTAAATTTATACTAACTTAAATGGGGCCAAGATGTTGAGCCATGTTAGAACCCTTCTGTTGCATGTGTGAGGCCCTGGGTTTCATCTCCAAAATTACAAAAAAGGCTAATTAAAATTACATACTATGAGGAACAATGGCTCAGCAGATAAGGGGTTTTGCCACCAAAACTGATGATGAATTAGATCCCTAGGACCTACATGGTAGGAGAGAGCTGACTCTTGCAAGTTATTCCCTAATCTCCACGTGTGCGCTCCCTCAATAAATACGTGTTATTTTAAAAAATGACATACATTGAAAAATTTAACTCCTCAGTTCCAAGAACCACATTTCAGCCAAACTAGACAACACACACACACACACACACACACACACACACACACACACACACACACACACTCCATCACTGTAGTAAGTTACTGGAGGATTTTGTCACAGACATTTTAAAATAAGTTTGTACTACTCTGTCATTCACATTACCATGGAACACACTGACTATTCACAGGGAGAAAGAGCAGGAAGAATCTAGCCCATAAATTCCTGTGCCTAAGCTAAATTACCATTTGTTATGATTAAAATGTTATAGCTTTTGAGTTGGGTGGTGGTGCATGCCTTTAATCCTAGCACTCACAGAGATCTCCGTGAGTTCAAGGCCAGTCTGGTCTACAAGAGCAAGTTCCAGGACAGGCTCCAAAGCTACAAAGAAACCCTTTATCAAAAAACTAAAAAAAGTTGTTACAGATTTCCTTTTAAGAGATCTTAAAATACATTGGTACACATATATGCTAACATGAGATTTTTTTTCTAAGAAAATAGAATGAGACCACATATACTGTCAAAACCTTTATGAATTAAATCAAATGTCCTTAATTTTCTGAATGAAAAGTTAAGAGCAAATATTATTTATTTATTTTATTTACTTATATACTTTTTCAAGACAGAATTTCTCTGTGTAGTCCTGGTTGTCTTGGAACTCACTTTGTAGACCAGGTTGGCCTCAAACTTACAGAGACCCACCTGCCTCTACCTCCTGAGTGCTGAGATTAAAGGTATGAGCCACCATGCCTGGCAAGAGTAAATATTTTTTAAAAGTAAAAATAAAAAAGAAAGAAAAAAGAATATGGCAGGACTTTTCATAGTTCAAGATACCCAATAAAAATGAAAACAAAATAACAGCAGCATTATTTTCTAATAGCTGGCTTTCCTCTTTACCACCAAAATGTACAAACTTTTAATTATAATATCACATGACTTTAAAAATATTCATGTGAATGTGTATGCATGTTTACTATGTATATGGAAGTCAGAAGAGGTGTCAGATCACCTGGAACTGGAGTTACAGAGTTGTGAGCAGGTCTATGTGGGTGTTGGGAATTGAACTTGGGTCCTTTGCAAGAATATCGAACTCTTTTAACTACTGAGCCATTTTTTCAGTTCCCAGAATGATCTTTTCTAAAAACTAGATGGGTTTTATAGCAGTTTGCTTAAGAGACATTCCTAATTATCACTTATGTATTTTTTTTTATCTGGTGCAGTTTATATTTCTACATTCTATAACTTTGATCTGGGAGATGATCTGTTTTTAATACCCCACTGATAGTTGCTGAAGACTGTCTCATATTATTTGTTGTATAATTATTTCATTTTTCTTGAATACTCAATCCTCTTCTTCTAAGACAATACTGTCAACTAGTAAAGGAATTTTTCAAGACAGGTTTTCTCTGTGTATCCCTGGCTATCCTGGAACTCACTATGTAGACCAGGCTGGACTTGAACTCACAAAGATAGTCTGCCTCTGCCTCCCGAGTGCTAGGATCAAGGTGTGTAGCACCACTCCTGGCAGGAGGTTTATCTTTAAACAACTTCAAAGGATAAAAAAAAATCAGGAATGGGATATAACTCTAATATCATCTAATCCAGCCTTTACACTTACTGTTAATTAAACTTATCCTAAATTATGTGATTTAGACATGTCCATTTCCAATGAAGTGGTAATCTAGATACCTACTAGATTCTTTCACTGACAAAAGCACATTCTCACAAAACAGCCCTTCTTAGCTTTGGATAGTTCTTTTGGAAAATTTGGTTATATTACATAGAAATATGTATCCTTAAAATTTCCACATATTTGACAAACCTTATGAAAATGAGGATGATGTTAAGCTCAAGATGCATTTTTATCTGAGTATTTTTATTATCAATTGGCTTAAATCTATATACAGATACTTATAAACCAAATAGTAAAAGGCATATTTTAGCAACAACCAATAAAATGTTAAAAACGAATAAATGTCTTCCAGGATAAATTTATAGAATGTAGAGAGAGAAATTACACAAAAAAGACAAATACATGGATGATAATAAGGAATGTCTCTTAGCAAACTCTGCCGTAAAATCATCTAGTTTTATTTTTATTTTTTTTTTCTGATAGCAATAGAAGACCAATTAGGAGAGGAGTTGAGACGCTTCAGGTGGCTCTATATAACTAGGATGTGTCTTAAAGATGATGTGGTTAATTAGGTAGAAGAGAAATTATTTAATACATGCAGAGAATGGTAGAACAAAGTGAAGGTTATGTCTGGATTTTGAGTTGGACAATTACTTCAAGTTGTTTTTCATTATATTAGATGTTTTCTATTGCCATAGCTTCAATGTAATCTCCAGTTATGGTTTTTTTTCTTTTATTAATTTTTCTATTTATTTTTAATATTTTTTACAAATTTCCTCCTCCTCCCAGCCTCCCATTTCCCTCCCCCTCCTCCCACCCTTCTCCCCCTCCCCCCACTCCTCTCCCCCTCCCTCTCCAGCCCAAAGAGCAGTCAGATTTCCCTGCCCTGTGGTAAGTCCTAGGTCCTCCCCCCTCCGTGCATTTCTAGGAAGGTGAACATCCAAACTGGCTAGGCTCCCACAAAGCCAGCACATTAGGTAGGTTCAAAACCCCGTGCCATTAGAGTACTATGCTGCGTTAAAAAACAATGACTTCTCAAATTTTGCATGCAAATGGATGGAAATAGAAAACACTATCCTGAGTGAGGTGTCCCAGACCCAAAAAGATGAATATGGGATGTACTCACTCATAATTGGTTTCTAGCCATAAACAAGGGTCACGGAGTCTACACTTGGTGATCCCAAAGAAGCTAAGTAAGAAGAACCTTCATCTGGTGATGGATGGAGACAGAGACAGAGACCCACACTGGAGCACTGGACTGAGCTCCCAAGGTCCCGATGAGGAGCAGAAGGAGGGAGAACATGAGCAAAGAAGTCGGGACCACGAGGGGAGCACCCACCCACTGAGACAGTGGAGCTGATCTATTGGGAGCTCACCAAGGCCAGCTGAACTGTGACTGAAAAAGCATGGGATAAAACTGGACTCTCTGAGCATGGCGAACAATGAGGGCTGATGAGAACCCAAGGATCATCTAGTTTTAGAAAAGGTTATTCTGTGGTATTTATAATTGGAAGTCTGTGTACACTTTGGGGCTAAAAGAAGAAAGCACAGCCAACTTTTGGAGTCAAATATTTATTTATTGCTATTATAAAATAATGTTGCTATGAAAATTTATGCAGAAGTTTTTATTTATGTTTTCCTTTCTTTTGAATACCGTGTGGCAAAGGATTAACCTTGCCCAAAGAAGGGTTTGACCCTTTGCCTCTATTACCTGAGAAGTAGCAAGTAAGCCTTTGGAATGTTCTAATATGTAGTTTATGCTAACTGTGTGACTATGGTAGAGGCTTTGGGTTACATGATATCAACCTGACTTCCAGAAGGACCCAAGAACAAGGTGTCAGACAAATGGAATATTACCTCTGGCCTCCAAGGCTATGAGTGGAGAAATAAACACGGAATGCATGGTTTTGGGGGTGATATAGTGAGGAGCATAAGATATACACCTCCTTGGACAAGCTGTGGTATTTAGGCAGGGAATGGAGGGCATGGTGGTCACTGACCCTGACTACTCTAATGAGTCATAAACCCAGTTATCTTCAGGTTACTGTGGAGACTGAGAGCACAGAGTGGCCTTTGAGCTGATACTTTATAACTGGTACTTGGTCATTAGGTAGGCCTACTCTTGGGTTATCAATTTATTTCTGCAGCCTCCTTTGGGGTTATTAATTCCTGGGTAGG